CATCGCGTGATGGACACGCAGAAACCACTTTGGCTAAATTGCCTGCGCGCTTTCAGCCGTCGTAATGTCGCACATCCAAAAGCGGCGGGCACGGGCGCGCACTTTGCGTTCCACCCGGCGGCGGCGGCAGCGGCCGAAAGCCGCCCGGATGCGCACAACTTTCTACATAATACATAATGACAGCCAACATTCAACACGAAACAACACTCGTTTGTTTCCATAACTTTTTATTATTTATTGTCGGCTCTTTCATTGCTACTTTTTGTCGCGCTGAGCGTTTTTGATTTAAGTGCCTCACTTAACGAATAAACACTACACATTATCCACATTTAAATACCAAAAAATCAAGCATTTTGTAGCACAATTTAAAGTTAAAATGAAGATTTGAAGTTTTACGCAGAGAGTAATTACGTTCTTGGGAGAAATTAAAGATTTAACTCGCATGAATGTGTAACGTGTGCAATTTAACGAGGCACGCTTGTCTTCGCTTGCGGGCGGGCGAGACTGGCGAGAGGGATTGAAAGAGCGTTCATTAGTATTGTATGTGCAGTAATTATCTTTGCCTAGTCGGCTTTCGCGCCCCGCAAGCTCGCGCATCGCCGAAAAGCGACTGGAAGACACGATCCCTCAACAGCCTCAACGTTAGACGTGATTCCAACTTTCTGGGCGCGCTCCACTTGCCAGTTTTACAACATCTACAAATCTACAGGGTGTTGTAACCTCCAAAACCTCAAACCTAACTTTATTTATCTACCCCTATAAAAATATTCATTAAAAACATAAAATTTGAATTGTTTTAGGTTGTAAATATTGAAATACAAGAAGATACTTGATAGTTGATACTTTTGACGCTGAGAAATTGCGGAAACAAGAGGTGGTCGTTGATTCCCACACCCCGGGCACCAGCTCCTTTGGCTCTGAGTCTAGTCTAGTCCCAACACTCCCAGCGCAATTAGCAGAGTTCCTTATTAATTAATGCGAGCCGCTTAACTGGCAGTTTGCTTAAGATTCGACTCGACCGTGAGCACCCGCTCTCAGCCCCCTCGCGCGTAAGGGGGTCTTATAGCAGCCTTCGCGTGTGTCCTCTCTAACAGCTTTCCGAGATGAGCGCGCAATGAGCTGAACCGAGGCCGGATATGAGATCGTTGCATGGCGTCGTCGGGCACATATCCCGGTCGCCTAATTTCCTAATATCCTCATGCGGCCAAACAGCCAATCCACACCCCGAGTATCACTAATATAGACCCCAATATGGAATTTAATATGCGCACTTTATCGTTCAATTAATTGAACAATACCTAATTACGAATTGGTCCTTTGTGCCAATGCGGAATGGGATTAGCTAATACAGGGTGTGTATTGGGGAAAAAATTGCATGTATTTAAAGACTTTTTGCTCTTTATTTTAGTTGGCGTCCGTGGGGGCGAAGCAGAAGAATGGCAGAGGAAGAAAAAAAACGTGGACGAGTCCTTTTTATTGACGCCTTTCATCGCCGCCACGCCGCGATCGCTAACTGCCATTATGGGCCTCTTAAGACTTATAAAGGAACCAATTTCGTTGCCAATTTTTCACATTACTCCAATGGCTCCACAACTCCAAGTTCGGAACTTTGGCACGCTCGAAATTTTTATTCATCACGTTCAAGACATTCGGGACATTCAAGATGGGTTGAGTTTTCATTTCTCTGGACTCCACGAAGGTATAATTTAATTTCTACGCGTTATTTAACCTGTAGTGTAATGTGGGTTGCCGAGTGTGAAATAAGCTTACAGTGAATTTTAAAATGTAACAATTGATTGCAGGAGAGTAAAAAAAACAGGAGTTTTATGTAAATTGTGAGGGCGTTTATGCGAAATGCATTATCAGGGACTAAAATCGGCCGCCATCGCAGGCCATCACATCGCATCAGAAGCGCGTGCGATGATGGAAGGAAAATACTAAAAGCTCATTCATCGCCGCCGCCACCACGCCGCAGTGCTGCCGATGCGCTGATAGCATTTACCATTCCGCGATGAGCGCGGTTTATATTTGCTGTTTGGTTTACACTTGCACACAGCGGCGGCGCGATGGGTATTAGCGTCAAAAGCGCTCGCGCCGCGCGAGCTTTCATTTACATAATGGAAGAACAACAAATGCATTTCGTATTAACTCGAGTATACAATATACAAGTTTACCAACAACGAGTACGGCTTCATACAGTGGAGAAACACTCAGCGTGAATTTTGCGTAAACACGCCGCAATCACGACGAAAAACCACGGATTTAATTTTATTAATTAAAAATTACATCCGCGTAATTATTTTCATTATATCCATCATATCAGAATATGCGCGTGCAGTAATAAATCAACAGATTTTAATTACTTAACGTCGAGGCGTTTTTCCGCGTTGTGTTTAGCGGTCATTTTTCATACTACAATTTTATAGAGTATTCAAATATACGGTTCTTTGAAATTTGTTAAAACGGGCAATTTTCCTCCGATGCGGCTGATGATGATGGCTCTTCTTCGCGCAAGAAAAACTTTTATGATTAATAACAATAAATATCCGTTAAATGGATAGCCGCCCCCCTATAATATGCGGCCTCTTTTCGGGCGTGTAATAAAAATAATAATACTCTAAAGAGCGTGGAGTGGAAGCGCGCGCCACTCGCCTCTAAAAGAAAGTGTTATTAGGAAAGTTTGTTTATTACGCACGGTGGTGAAACCGAATGAACCGTATGTTACTGTCTGGATATCGCATCCTGATCGAAGTAATAAAAGAAAAATTTTAAAGCCACACGAACACATTGTATATGAAAATTCGTTTAGTCCTGTCGGTCGGTGGCGGCAAATTGAAAAAATTAATTAAACTCGTAGCTTCTTTCTTTTTTAACTCACTTTTACTCACGACGAGATTGTCCCAGGCAAGACAAAAAGCCCTCGGCTCGTTTAATTACAACCGTCGAAATTATAATTTGATTATTAAAAATTTAAAAGTCTCCGCGCCTCGCATGTCGCCGGGCGCGCGCGAATGTTAATTAAATTGCGCTTCTCTCTTTCGCCAATTTTCAGCTGGCGCAAACTTTTTTCCATCTTTTATTATGCGCGCAAATTGGAAGGGGTGTCGAATAAAGTGAAACTCTTTCTTGCCCTCCTGCGTGATTTCGACAAAGGCGCAGGACGAGCGAGTTGCGAAAGGAGAGGCTAATGAAATGTCAGGGCTCGAGAGATTGTGATTAATTGTAAGATAGCCAAACCGGTACAACGTATACAAGCAAGGCGAGGTGCCGGAAAACAAAGGACATGAAATGCAAGATAATTTCACAGACATAAATAGAATCTTGGCGTTTTTAACTGGTTTTTGGTTTATATCAATATATTTATTAGTTATATTTTAATTAATTTTTACTTTTTGGTTTCTCGGGCTCAGTATGCATCAATTTCATCAAAAAAATTCACAATTTTATGTCACAAATATTAGAAAAACAAGTAACGCCATCTCTGATTGACTTATTTAACTATAACTAAACCTCGTAATTGTGTGTCAAAATGTTAGCAAAGCTAGTGGCGCCCTCCATGATTGAATTATTTAACTACAACTAACCTTAACACACTGTAAGTAGTAATTTTAGTTATTTTAATAGTTTTCTGTTGTTATTACAGGAATTGAATCCAAAATCTCCAAAATTGTTTCAATAATATAGATTGTAATAGAAAATAGGTTATGTCGCGCACGTTTATTTTGTAATGCGAGAGTAAATGAGATTTACGATTGTCACGTGTTGTTGTCGGTGTGCAGCTCAATTTTCGTTATTTTCGTATATTCGATTGCCGCCGTCGGTCAGGCGCGCACGCGGGTGGCATGCCGCCGCCGCTCGCGCTCGCTTTCCGACAGTTTTCCTTTCGATTTATTTCGATTCGTTTTATCGCGATCGCCGCTCGCTCGCGCGCCCGAGCGGAACGCGGCGAACGCGATAGAGACGTACGCCCGCTGCCGCCGCCGCCACCTAGCCGCGCGGAATCGAGAGGTGGTGTTGTTTTCAATTTTCCAATCGCTTCCAAAACACGCGCGTTTCGCTACAAAGAAAAACACGTATCGAATGTCTTCGTATATGGAGGTCCAATGTTTCCAGTTTTTTTCAATTGCGAATATCTCGTAAACTAAAAGTGATAGAGACGAACGGATTGAAGATTCTTAATCTATGTCAAATTCTCTATGAGATTCAATTGAGGAGGACAACAACCACAGAGTGATTCAACGGTTATTTGGAATTTTTATTTATATTCGTAAATCACAATAATAACAATTTAAAATATTTTTTTTCTAGTTTCACCATTAAAACGTCAGTTTTTCCACGGTTTTTACACACAAAAAGTGGTACTTTACACATAAACGGCCAAAGCCGTGACTAAAGTACTTTAGTCATGAGTTTTAGTCACGGGTTGGATCACCGAGGCTAAAAATTGTGAAACAGTCGATAGATTAAACTCTCGCTATGCTCCCTCTTAATAAATCTCGTGAGTAAAGCCCAAGTTTAGTCACTTGATACTTAATATCCTACATTAAAAGATTTCTGAGTGAAATATAAAAATTGTAGTTTTGTTATTGATTTTATTTGTATTGAATGTGTGTGTGTTTAGATTTTAGAAGGATTTAGATGCGACACGGCTGCGAAATCATAAATATCACGAAAAATCAAATATCCTCTGACATATTCTATAATTCCGCGTCCGATTCACCGCCGGTGGCGCACGTGCGAAGCGTGCTGGATGCGAAGGCACTCACATATCACCCGAACAGCGTCAGGGCTACGAGGACGTATTGCTTACATTCGTCCTGCTGCGTCCTTTCGACGCTTTTTTAATGCCTTTTCGAGTGTTGAAAAGGATAAAATTCGCGTCGGCGTCAACACGCGCATATTTGCACGCCGCGTGAATTTCAAAACAGCGAAAATATTTTCACATTTTTAGAAAATATCGTCGATTAGTTGATTATAGTAGAAAATAGGAGAAAACTTACCGGTGCCATTTTCCGTGCTATGCATCGCCGATGCTTCCGGTGCGGAGTGGCGGCAGGCCGCTCCCGACACTCTCAAACGCCAACGCCGCCGCACCGATCACGGCGCCTCATTGTCCCGATGCACTTTGTGTCCGTGTGCTCACCCCCGTCGGCGTGCTGTGCAGCCAATTTAATTTCGCTTCGATTTGTTTACACTTTCGTCGCGAGCGTGGCTGCGTCTCCGAAAAAATCGCATCCTGTAAACAAAATTCTAATTAATATAATATACAGTGTGTCATTGCACAGAAAATACAATATATAAGTTTAACAAGCAACAAAAACTGCAAATTCAAGTAAAAGAGTAAAGAAAAGCCGGAAAACCATGGGAAACGATGCAGAAAATTGACAATTCGATTGTAGACGATCTATTTTCTCAATTGGACGTAATATTTGACACAAAATATCAAAATGGAAGACGTTTTTATTCAATGTTTAACAAAAAATTGGGTTTTTTGGTGTTTTTTGTTTAAAATGATGAAAATTATTGTTTTTAATAGAAATATTATGTGTTTTTTGGTATCACTCGGTGATTCTGTAAATAAAGCGAGTAAACTGGGTTAGATATCATTGGAAGTTATTCAATTTAACTCAGACTATTGGAGATAATGGTAAAAATCCAATTTTACTCGCGAGTGCCTTCGCCTCCCTCCCGGGCGGTGGCGCGCGGCCTCCACCGCCGCAATCGCATCTTCGTCGTTTTCCCTCCGCGCCGTTTCGGTGCTCTCCTTCGCATCTTTTCTCAAGCGAGTGAAGGGTAAGAGCCTTTGCTTTGCGATACATTAAATAAATCTTGCGCTCTGATTTTTCGAGAAGTTTTAATGCCGCTTGACAAATAGACAATTAAGTTGTCTATTCTTCAAGTAAAAAAGTAACATGTTTAACAGGTAATATGTTTATTGTTGATAATTACAAAAAGGGGGTCATCACGACGGCCACGGTTAGTGTATCAGCTCACGCGGTTCAACCGGCATGCTGGGCCTTGGCGACAACGGTCCAAATCGCTGGCCCAGCCTATGCTCTGTCTGTGGCTCGTAACTGGCATACATATCGTTTATGCATCATTCCACCAGAACACCGTCACTGCTAGACTCCGACCCTTGGAGTAGCACCTGCGGTTCGACTTGACTCTTTCCCGAGCGCGTACCGGACCCCCGATGTACTATGCAGACATGATTGTATTTATACCCTAGATGAGTATAAGTCTACAGAGAGAGAAGTATTGTTTAACATTGAATTTAAACATGTTTACAAACAAATATTCAAAATTTACTTCTACAATATTGTTTAAAAATATGTATAGTATTGTATATTGTTGTTAATATATAAAGTTTATATCTAATTTGTTTAAAAAAATTAGTTTTAGTATAAAATGTCTCTTTGGCAAAAAGGGTCCACGCGACGGCCACGGTTAGTAACCACCAAGAGGCGAGATTACTTCACAAGTTGTGAAGATACGATTTCGTGCGTAATCAGTACTTGACGCTTACTGCGCGTCAACCATTTTCCGACACATTAGACGATTCTTTAAACGTTCGATGATAGATTGATATCTTCTACTAGTTAAGTGATTCAACACAGGCGGGCTAGGCTTGCGCCCTGCCCTTATTCTCACGCACCGGTAACATGAGATTTGGGTTTTTTCCCCGAGCCGTACCGGACCCCCGGTGCCGTTGCTTCACATCGCCATATTTGTAATCATTAATAGAATGTTTTGTAAGAGAGAAACATAAGCTATAAAATAGCGTTTAAAATATCAACAAGTAAATGTATTATATATTCACTTCTACAAACAGCTTCGAAATTACAGCAAGTGTCAAATACCAGCATTTATAACCAGAAATATTTATTAGTTTACTGAAAACAATTGTTTTTATACTCTAAACGTTGCGGAGGATGTGATAGAGTAAGAAAGAATGTGACTGTCTCCAGACTGGTTTTCGCACTGCACACGAGTGACCCTCAAACCACTCAAAAAACGAAGATTAACGAAAATAAACGAAGTGCATTCATGGATGTATTCGCAATTCGCATTCGGTGCACTGGCAAACGTTCATTTAATTAATTGGTGAAACATGTACTACAACTCAACACGAAAATGCAATTCAGGTAAAATTTAAATAAATATGATTGTTGTTGATCTGAAGATGTTTTTGAATCCGACAGATAGCGCTGCGTTCGCAGTGCGAAAAATTCAAATTTATTTCAATTTCAGTTTATCCCGGTGGTGGCGTTGCGATCCAATTCATGAAAATTTTGCAAGTTGTGTTATTGTTGTGTTAAAATAAATCACGTACTAATTGAACAACTACAATAAGTTATAATTAGTGTGTAAATGGATTGTGCAAATAAATGACTACATCTTGCAGATTAAGTGAGTATTTTACCTGCTTTTTTAATGAAATTTACGCGAACGTACGTCAACAACCATTCTAACCTAAACATTTATTTGTGAAGTTTATAAAATTCATTTACATGTAAATCATTTCACTGTCGATTATCATCCGCGATTCTTTTTATTAAAGTTATCGATCGCGGATCACGGTCGGCAAGTGATACAGAATGATGGAGCGGCGTCGACGGCGATAACGTATTGTGTAAACAATAATTACAGCGCTCTATTATGTTCGGCGCGCGCGCGCTCACCGGCCGGGGGCGGCTTTAATTACTCGCGTCATTCGCTCGAGCGCAGCTGAACGCGCGCGCGCGTAATTAAAACTAATGAACTAATTCATCATTAAACTAATTTGCGTTTCGCAATCGCGGCGTGGGCGCATATTGTTTACTAATTGCCCATTACTCGCACGTTTAATGTGTGCTCGAAAAACGCGCCGGTACAAATTAGCACTACTTGTAATCAAACAATTGTTTTTTAATAAAAAGGATCTCAGCCAGTGCCACGGTTCGTAGTTTTTTCGGAGTTCCTAGCTTATACAGCTTTTACCAACGACGACGGTACCGTCCAGTAGACAGACCAGGTTTGTAAGCACTCATGTTACCGGTGAGCATACGCTTAGCGATCATAACCCGAGCACGTTGCGGACCCCTGCGCATCACCTAACAAGTTCCTCTTTTATACCTGACGCATATAAGATTCGCGCGTGCAGAAATATTTTATTTGTTTTAAAATTACGAAAAAATTAAAAATAATCAAATTAATCGATCTCTACAGTATGATACTAAATTAAACAAAGATTGTTATGTTGAAAGAAATATTTAAAAATATTGCGTGGTTTTTGCGTAAAAATTATTTTTACAATTGTTTTGTTGCTATAAGTAGTTAATTAGTGTAATCACCACATCTCGGAAATTCTCCGACAGGCCACGCTGGAAATTCGATTGTTTCAGTTGGGAGGTCGAAGTTGGCAGTTGGCAGATGGCCGTTTTCGGCGCAATTAGCAATTTCGTAATGTGTCGACCGAGCGCCGCGTAATCCACTAATCAAGGCGTTTCGTTAGCGTTAGATAATGGGCGGCCACCGCCCGCTCCGCTGCCACCACCCCCGCCGCCATCAGGCGTCGTTAAGCATTTTCGCTACGTGCGTTCCGCGTTCGTTAAGGTCGTCGTCGGGAGCGAGAGCGTCTATTTGTCTGTCCTAATTAGTCGAACGGCGCGGCTCGTTAGCAGCGAAAACGAAACGAATCTGCTCCCCGAGAGCAATCCGACACAAGCCTCCGTTTGACGGCACGTAATTCGAGTGCCACCGGTCGTTATCCACAAACAAACAGACACAACTCGTCGAAAAACAACTCATAAACACTGATTTCACGCCGAGAAAAACCAAAAAAGTAAAAAACTCGAAAACACTCGGTGTATTTGCTAAGTAACATGTCAGAAATGGTATTTTTGTTGCTTCGGCTTGCTGTTGCAAGTGTTGCGACTCGTGATGGTTTCTAATGCGAGTCTTGGGTGTGTCAGAGGGGTGGAAGTGGTGCGAGTATTCGAAATGGAAAATCTAAGTGTGTTTTAAAAGCTTTTCTGACATCTTGACCGAAACGGACGTCGGCGGAGACACGGAACGGCTTTCAATACGCTTTTCACTCTTTTCACTCTCGGCTTGTTCCCCCTCAGCCGCGCCGCCGCCCCACAACACCCTACACATCGACACTACTTTCCTTTTTTCGGCCCTTTTTCCAGCTTCTTATTAAGCCACTTCAACATTCCAACATTTCAAACCGACGACGACGCACTAAACATTAACTTAAAAAAGCAACGCAAATAAAAAATATAAATGCGTGATGTGTGATGTGGGATGAGAGTTGTGGCGAATGCTGCGAATTTGTTTGAAGTCGAAGAATGCCGGGCGTGAAGAAAAAAATACAACAAAAAACCCACCACAAGAAGCAAGAGGAAGAGTGAAAACAACCCTTCGCACTTAGCGTACTTCGGACAAGCATTTTAAACCGAAATAATGTTTTGTACTCTCGGCTCTCCACTCAATCTACTCAGACTGCGCTCGGGCGGGCGCTCCAGTCGACTCAATGTGCACTTACATACACTTACATCCACTTAAGATTAAGGCGCTTTTTTCGCTTCTTTTCAAGCATTGTATTTTCTTATACTCCTACTTTCGCTTCAATTCGCGATTCTTTGGCGTTTTATTTCAAGCTTTCATTACTTCGACGACATTTATACTACGGGGACGGGAAATACCGGTATCGATATTGGTATACCGGTATTTTTTGGGTAAAAAACCGGTATTTTTTATTATAATATCTTGATTGCAATATTTAATAACATATAAATTAAAAATTAATATTTTTTTAAAAAATTAATATTGGTCTACCGAAAAACCGGTATTTTTCTGTCAAATACCGGTTAAAAAATAAAATTTTATAAATACCGGTATACCGAAATACCTGTATTTTTGGTTCAAATACCGTTGTTTTTTTCAATATGATCTTTCGATTGCAATATCAGAAAATAAATTAATTAAAATTTAAATTTTACAAATACCGGTATTAAATAAAAATTTCACAATTTTAACCTTTTCACACATAGATGACGCTGCTGGTCATACAATTAAAGAAGTAGCATCAATGGATTTGTGATCAAAAATTGCATTGTGTCAGATTTTTCACATTCAATTATGAAATTCGTTAGCGCACGCATTCAATAATAACAGACATTGATTGGAATTACCGACTGCGAATTGTGTCGAATTGTAACACAATGCGAATAACGTGTCGCCGTCCCCATGCCATAATCAACCCTCCCCATACACAAAGCCCAGGCGCTCGCAATTGTGACGTGTCCAATTTTCAATTTTTTGTTTAATTTTAGTTGTGCACGCGTTTATAAACCTATAGCGCTTCCAACTTCAACCGAATCCGGCGCGTGGTTTTGATTGCGTTCGACATGCGTTTAATTAAAATTTCACTTTTTGCCTTTGGTTCCTAATTAATTTCTTGTCGCAATGCCAATTAGTGCTAACGACCATTATACGCGTGCGTGTGTATTTGCATCCGATGAGCGCAAAAGTATCGAGAATTGCTCGAAATGACGAGAAAGAAAGAGGCGCGCCATTTGCGTCTCTTAAAAACTCGACACGTGCCCCCTTTGCGGACGCTCCGCAATTTTCGCATTACGAATTCTATATAAAGAATGCGCGCACATGGAAAACTAAAATGTCTTTGCATCCGGAATGCAGGCAAGCGCGCGCGCGCCCAGATAGAATTTAATTAGTAATTAGCTTAATTAGTTAAAGTCGTAGAAAATGAGACGATCTCGTCGTTCGTCTGTACGTGCTGTCGAGAACTCAATATACCGAGTGTTGTAAACACGTAAAACATTGAAATCTTCACTGTGTGTGTTTTATACGTTGATGTTATTTGTTCGGAGGGTAGACTACGACTGTACGAGTACGAGTTGCTGTTGGAGGCCGCAAGATGGGGACAAAACGTGAAGACGCGCGCGCGCGAGCGAACCGAATGCCCGCATCTTATTTCAATTAGTTTAATTAATGGCGGAAATGTAATTAACGTCGCCGTCTTACGCCCGTTTTCGTCTTCGGCGAGCGCGTCACGCGAACGCATGCGATTGTATAATGCGATGCAATTGCGGTCGAATTGCGGCGCGTCTAAATTCGGTAATTAATGGTTGAGATGCTATGTTGATCATTCATCACACAGACAGTTTCTCGCACAGCAAAATCTTAATAAGATATGCTAATTTTTTTTGTTATTTTTGGAATAAAAATAAATTTTTTATTGAATAAAATTTTTGCGGTGAATAAAAAATTCGCAATCAACAAAATGCATTAGATTTCGACAGGTCATACATCAGTTGTATCCATCAGTGGGTCGAAAGTGTGAAATCGAACTTTGTTCTCAGTCGGTCCACGCAGTTGAGCTGGGCGAGAAAAAAAAAAGGGAAATCGCCCCTCGTTTTCGTAATAATGCGCCGCGCTGCCGGCAACCCCGGGCCGCCCTTTTCGCTTCTTGCCTTTCATCCGACGCGCCACGCACGCGGGCAAAACGATTTCGATTTCAATCAGCCGCGGCGTCGGCGGCGCCAGACGAAAATCACTTTAGCGCTCGCCGCGCGCCGAGCACGTTTCAGACGTTCAACTGATAGCCAATCAGTAATCGAAATTCAACAAATCCGAGCCGAAAACGCCGCCGCGCGCAAATGAAACATATTGACGCATTGAAAAGTCAACAAGTCATTTTTTCCATCTTCTTCGCGCCGCGCCACGCCGCGCCAGGGCTAATCAATTCGCTGGAAATGAAATAAAATATTATTGTCGAGCCCCTCTCTCGCGGATATTAAAGCGCGCGGAAAATAAACCAGAACGACAGAGTGAAACAGACGCAAATATCAAAAAAAGGGAAGAGGAAAAAATGCAGACAAAACGAATGACGAAGGTCGTGGAGCACAGGCCGATTTCGATAATAAACCAATTTCAATTTCGTTTTCAATATGATCGCATCAAGATTAGAGGCGAAGGGCAAGCCGTGGAACGTGACGCGCAAGGGAGCAGAGAGCGGAGAAGAAATATCAATATATAAGTGCCATCAATAAAAATGATATAGGCTTTTACTCCAGCGATACAAAAATATTGCATAAATAGTTACATCAACGTCGTCTAGATGGCGCTACACTGTCCAATTCATTTAATTCCTCGTAAATCTCTCGTTATTTGATTGAATGTAATCTAAAATTAAATAAGACGAGATAAAATATAATGACGTTGAGTAGTAATATAAACCCTCGGATATCGCTGCGCGGAATCGAATAGAAGAGGAATCGAACGAAATTGCAATTTTTTTCGCATTTTCTTTTGCTTCGATTTTATTTTCGTCATTTTTTGCCATTTCGCTACATATTCCGACGTTTAACCATTAAACTGCTTAGGCAATAGATAAATAATTTCACAAATCGTATTTGTATCAGACTGTAGGTAGTTAAATAGATTACTTACAACGGTACAATCGAAGCAAAGTTAAGTTATACTTTCGGCTTGATTTCTGAACGAGGGGAGAAACGAATATTGCAAATGTATTTTTGAAGGAATAGAAATACGATGGAGATAGCATAGGATGGAGGCGGAAAGAAGGAAGAGGAAAGGAAAAGCGGGATACATCCAATTTTAAACTATCCAATTTTTCATTTCGGATTTAATAACGTCAGTCGAACGGGCGAATTGCCGCTCGCGTGGCCGCTCCCGATGCTTTCTTTTCGTTCTGTCACTCTCGGCCGCGATGGACAAAGAAAAAATACATCGAAGACGTGCGTCTTGGCTCACACACAGTCCGTTCGGATACTTTTTTCGGGTACGATATCCAAGTCGGAATCGAAATCGAAGTGATCTTGATGTTAAACTGGCCAAAAGACACAAGTTTTAATAGATATAATAGATTTAAGGAAAAAAATTGTTTTTTGTCGATCTATTAAAATAAATTGACACCTGGCGGTATACGATGGCTTCTTGTTACGCGTCGCAGTCCTTATAGAGTTATCATTAAACCGCGCGAGAGTGAATCAAGAGCGGCGGCGACAAAAAGCAGAGAAAAACGCGGCGTGCTGTCTTCGTATATAGTCTGCGTCGGTGGCGGCTGCTCGTTAATAATAACGACCACAAATTTTCACCTTGTTTGCAACCATTTTTCATTTTTAAGAGAACAACTTGTCTGTTTTTTTCATAAAAAATTTATTATTTTGATTTTTTTAAGAGAAAAAAAATGAACTCAATGCAAATCGAAGATGATGTTGATGTGTTTATGGTAATGAGTGAGCGGAGCGAGGATGACGCGTTATCGAAATGCTTTTAGCGACGGCGGCGGCAGATCCACCCCGCGCGCTTCCATCGCAACCCTTTTAGTGGAAAGTGCTCATAGATGCTCACCGCTCACTCAGCGTGCGGCGTTCCCACCACGTCACACCGAAACCATTCATAACAATATAAAGTTTACATTTTCGATGCAATTCCATATAGATTGCAAGTATTTTCAACTTAAAGTAATTTTTTGTTTTTATGAAGATAATTATCAGTGCAATCAAGTGAAGTTGTGCTGCAGCTGCATAAGCTCCACTTCACAAACACTCAATCCATTAATGGCTCGTAATAATAGAGGGCGGTAGTGTATATATGTAATTCCAACACCATTCCTCTCAATTACAGCAGATTAGGCAACATAACCTAAGATAAAATGTATAAAAATGTACGGGATATAAAATATTTGTTTCCGGTGTTGTAATTTTGATTTATCACCGCATCTGTGTGTATCTTCGCGCGCAAATTTGTAATTTAATAAAGTTTACTTAGTTAGATGAGGTTTTCGATGTCGGCGTGCGGCTCCGGGCGCTTCCGGCTTTGGCGCACGTCGTGTTATTAGAAAATGACTACCTATCTAGCGCGGCGTGGATGTATGGGAAAACGGAAACGGAGCATTTGTCAAGTCGGATCAACGCCTTATCTCTGTACAACGCCGCCGATGCTGAAGTCGGGCGGGCGGGCGGGCGGTGGGCTTCGTCGTTCGGTTGTCGTGTCGTCGCGTGTCCTAAGGGGGGCGGCGAGTGCGCTGATCCTGCGACAAGGCCGCACGGACACGGGACACACGTCGTCGCCGTCGGCGGCGCGCAAGCCCTTTCTGCGAAGGCTTCGACATTCAATTCGCTCTGTTCATTACCGGCTTACGTCGCTTTGACATTTAATTATTTAAAGTGAGCGCCCGAAAGCTGGCAATATCGAAATAAATCCACTGCGAATCCAATTTCCCAATTTCGTCACATTTCCTCTCTTCTGTTTCGAGGTGGAAAACGTAAGAAATGAGCCGGATTTGTGTTTGGGGGTTTAGGTGTGGTTTTCAGCCTGTCATTTGTCAGATTACGCAGACTTTATGAAAATGTTGCCACGGAATCATTAAATGTCCGTTTTGCGACTTTATCTGCGCGATTTTCGAACTTCATTACACATGTATGGCAAATGTATCAGCTCAGAAGTGACCATTCGTTCCCTAGCGCCGCCCCCCACCCACCGAATCGAATGCATTTCGCATTTGGCGTTTTCAGACTACGGACTGACTTTCCATTCCATTCCGACTGCTCCAATCCAATACTCGAAATAGATTAGATAGCCGGCCGGCCCGAGTGCAATACACACACACACACACCAACCGACCACATTCACAAGGAGACGTATCACCTCTTAGTTGGATGTAATGCGTATACAGGATGTGCAATTTTTAATATTTAATGCGTTACCCAAGCGTAATTTGTCCAGAATGCATTCGCCCTATGCTATATACTATATGCAACCATATGTACATTAGTTCCAAAGTAAGGTTAGAATTCGCCAGTGTAGGCAGTGCACTTTGCACTTTAGGAAAGTGACCGAAAGGTTGCCTACCAAAAGGGATGGTCACTACTCGGTGTGTGCACTTTCGGAAAGACGTCGCTCGTCTCCGCCGTGGAAGGCACTTAGTTTAATAACACTACATCAACACACACCGCGTCCGACCGAGGGCGGCATTGATCTCCACTTCACTTTACTTTATTTCGCACATACGGAATGCAAGCAAGGGCCCCAGTCGCCGCCGCTCTTTGTTAAAACCACCAGCGTCGGCCACATAAATACTGCATGCGCGCCGGCCGCCACCGCTGCCGCCGCCGCCGTCGACGTCGTGTAGGTGGAAAAAATCACTCAGAGCTAAGAGCTTATCGCTGCTCTCGGACTTCGGGAGTTGATATCGCATACAAGGTATTCGAAAAATGCATTAGCCGAACTTTCCGAGCGCCACTTTCGATACAGTGACAATCCGCATTCGCCAAGTTAATTAAACTTTTACTTTGAGTGCTTCCAGCGCGTAAACTAATAGTGCTAAAAATATGGATTATATCAGAGACTACGAGGAATTTCATTAACATTTATCTCACGGTAAAACATTAAACATACACAGAAAACTTTCCAAGATATAAACAAAAACAAAAATATTAAATTTTTAAATTTTATATTGACATAATAAAATTGAAATCAAAATAACTCAAGAACTAATTAAATTAAATATGCGCTCTAACCTGTCAAATGTGTAGAATTTAATCAGCTTTCATATACAATTTACAGAAATTAATTATCTCTAATGCATTCGGAGTTATAAAGCAAATTCGAGGCGAAACTACTAAAATCCTAAAATTTAACATGTTTCTATAAAATATGGAAATAATTCGCTTGTCAGAGATGATTATTAAAATACCACAAGTCCAAAACACGCTCAATTAAATACTCCATCATATCAAATGTCCAAATTACGTGCTTAATTAATCCGCGCGTCTGCAATCGTAAATTTGGACGCACAAAATAGATTTTCGAAAGTTGCTCACACACTGTATAAACTGTATAAAAGACCACCAGGTTGTAATGGAATTAATACCACACCGGCCGGTAATACCTGCTAAGTGAATATGTGGATTTATATCCTCGTGTGCGTGATACACGTACATCTCTTAAGAAGAAATTCTGTCGGTGTTTGCGTGTGTGTGTGTGTTCCGTACGTGCGCATCGTCTCGTCCGTCTCGGCGTCTCGTCGGGGCACCGTGTGCGCGCACGTAATCCATATCGGGCGAAATTAATTAAAGCGATAAATCATTCCGAGTCAATCCGAATCGGTTAAAGTGAATTAAAAGCTTCCACACTCACATATTCACACATACACACACGCGTCATGTGTATGCGGGACGCTTACCGAAAGAGTTGAATTATATTTTTGCGCCCGGCGCGCATTAAAACAAAACGGCAAGAAATTGATTGCTCAGTTGAAGGCTTCGTAGAATGCGTGTTAAGCAGCGGGGCCGATTATTATCCCGCTGCGCGCTCGACCCGGCCGCAATAATACGGAATCATTAAGTTTACTTATTATGGTGCTTGACTGCACCAGCACCGTTGCTATGCTTCTAGATGTTGCTCAGTGTCGCAGAAAATACGAAAAGTCGAGTATTATCCGCTAGAAACTCATATAATGTAAGGAGGGATAGGGTATAAGCACGTCAAGTGGCGCCACCTAACGGAACATATCCTTAAATTTTGTTAAAGTTTACATTGCGATAAGTTTGTTATTTAAAATCATAGAAATTTGATTCAAAGGTCATTCGAAAGGTAAGGTTAGAAGATTAATTGGCAGTTTAAATAAATAATCTACAATGTGTCAGTTTAAAATTACAAGCAAAAAGGCAAAAAATGTACTTTTGAAGTTAAATATTTAAAAATGTTGAATTTAATTATATTACAAGTGGATAAACACTAAAACGTGAAAAAATGTTTGAAATAACAAATTTCCCCAATGCAAATTCAAACGCCTTCGAATTCCACGCACATTTCTACGTATTCCGGGAGTAAGATTACAGTGTCGCGCCGTGTAGCGAGCTTAGCAGGTGTAATGCGTGCTAATAAATCTTAAAGTTCTTTAATTTGATTAAAGCGGCGGATAAAAGCCGGTGCGCCTTCGTGCCGACGACGCGAAACAACAGCGCGCGAAGCCCTTCCGCGTTGTGTAGACGCCGCACAAAGTTCACCACCACCAACCAACCCCCGCCGCCCGAACGGCATTTATAAGGCTTTCGCGTCCTTATTTCGCTCTATTTTAATCCCCGACAAATAAGCGTCGCGTCGCGCACTCCGCCTTGGACTAATGGCTCATAGAAACGGAAAGCATCTAATAATGTAATAAAAGGGTGCGATATCAGACGAGAGAAAAAAAAAGGGGTGCGTGCCGTACATTATAAAAACTTTGCGTATTGTTGAAGCTTGTTTCGTTTTTAAACGCGACGTCGACTTTTCCTTGGCGCATGATTTACGAGGTTTAATTAATAATGCATCACGTGATAAGCATTTTCCATTTTCGGGGTTAGTTAATATTAAGGAAGTGTGAAACGCGACGAATTGAAAATTTCGTGTGTGCGTCGATTAAAACTCGGATTTAAGCGAGAGAAAAAATGTTAATTTACTTTTGCGCGAATAAAAAAAGTAACGTAAACTTACCAACTTAATTAACAGTTAATTTCTTGCGTCGACGTTCTTGAACTTTCAGCGCGCGCTGGAATCAGAAGAAGCAAAAAATAAAACGTTATTGCATTTTGTTGCTGCGCAAACATAAATAATGCATGCTTGCAATCAGCAATCAGCACACACATGGTCAGAAAGTCAGCAATTTGATTAGTTCTTGTTTACGCGCCGCGTACAATGTCGCCAAGCCAATACACTGCCATAAACATAAATACGCCGTGAATTAACGCGTTAATTAACGCGTCAACCATGGCGACTTATAAAGCGATGCGCCTTCGAAGAAGTCATCATCCGCGAATAGCGCTTAATGCGACATTAATTCAATTCCTTTTAGACCATGTGCAGAATTCTGTTTCACCGTTAATGCAGCTGTTGAACTATGCAACCAAATACACACGGCGTGCACCGTTACGCGTAGGTATAAATAAAGAACGAGAATGAGAGACAATGAAAATAAGGATCATAAAGGAGTCCTCGGTGGATTATACGAGGACTATGAGGACAATAAGGACGAGACCTGTTGCTGCACCGAACACATTCGTACGCAGCGTGGTAAAAATACCTGCAAAATTCTCTTCTCTGCAAAACTACAACATGTAATTTTATTATTTACTAGCTTTTGCCAGCGGTAGCGTTTAATAAAAATGTAATTCGTTTTTACTTCATATTCTAGACATAGTATGTGTGTCAATTCTATCAATAAGATTCGCAATTTTATTTTTAAGAAATTAATTATATAGTGAATTGCTAATAATGCACTTCAGCGCGCCATCTCGGATTCAATTATTTAACTATAACTATGATTGAATCTCAATGCCAACTTTTTTAGAAAAGGACTGTCTTTAGGATTTTCTCGGCATTATTAGAATTTTTCTAGCTGTAAAAACCATCCTCGGACTTTAACAAACATTTAAAAAAAGAATTGAGCAAATTGGTCTAGGCGTTGTTGAGTTATGCGCTTACTAACAGATTTTACGATTCGTTTTTATATTATAGATTACTCTACGATACTTTATTCAACAAAATATGGTGAAATTTTAATGACATTCAAGAAACATCTTTTGATTCTTTACTTTGCGCATCTTTTCGCTTGTTACAAAACTTTCCCGCTCTGCGATTTTTTTGTGCGTTGTTATTGCGATCATAATTACGGCGGATAACGACGATATGATAGCGTTTATCTCTGTGCGGCGCTTTTTGATAACCAAGATAACGACGTTCGGTGGAACCCCCAGCGTCCCTTCTAATGACGATAATGATTATTATAATCAGCTTCGTTTATTTTCCCCGGACGGACACCTTTTAGCGCCCTGTTAAACATCTTGTAGATCATTATTTCTTTTTGTTTTGCGCTGCTTGGATTGCATGCCGTGGACACGCTCATTATTTTAATTCGCGCGAAAGTTGTGCGTATTTTTGAGTTTTAAAGGATAGGGAAATGTGTGCGTGTGCTGTCTATTAGTTTAGCAACCCTCCGAACGCAGCAGGCGGGAGAGGAGTATAGAGTGAGAGTAGTATCGACGCTTTAGTGAAGCTTAAGTAAGCTTTCCTCGCGTGGAAAAAGCCGCCGCGTGCGCTCGTATATTGACTGGTTGAGACCCGCTTTTCTGTCTTTTTCGTTCTGTGTGTGTGAGTGGGTGTATGAGGCTGGGCTGTGAAAGAGTGTCGTGTTACATTACATTATTGCACCGGCGGCCGGCCGGTGGATGCAGGAGGGCGGCGGCACGTGTGTGCGAGAGTGGCCGGGAAATGAAAAATCCAATTTACCTTATCGCCTGGCTAAATCTTGACCAGCGGAATGGAAAACTCGTGTTAGAAAATCAACCTTCGACGAACGACCGACGCCGCCGCCGCTGCCGCCGACGAGCGGGCGAAAGTGCGCGCGTCCTGTCTCTGCGAGAATATTATATACACTCTGTTCGGTTTTGCAGGCGCATTTAATAACATCAAATTGATAGAATTATTATTTTCATTTATTTTTATTTTCAAATATTAGCAACTTTTAAACTAAAGAAATAATTTGAATTTTGTTGTCAGTATGCTATAGATAATTTATTTAACTATTTATATGCAAAATTTCAGTACTATTACTTTAATATTTACAAAATGGCGCTTAAAAAACTAAATGATTTCAAAAAATGTACCAATATAATTAACTTCAAATTTAAACTTTAATAACTTTCAAACAAAATTAAATATTTGAAATTTGTTTTTAGGAAACGCTAGATAATTTATTTAACTATTTATATGCAAAATATAAATGCAATAACTTGAATATTCACAAAATGGCGCTGAAAAAATAAAATGATTTCAAAATATTTACAAAAATAATTTACTTCAAGTTTAAACTTTAATAACTTTTAAAAAAATTAAATATTTTGAATTTGTTTTCAGGAAACTGCAGATAATTGATTTAACTATTTATGTGCAAAATTTAAGTGTTATAACTTTATTGATAACAAAATTGCGTGTCAAAAATGAAATAATTTCAGAAATTTTGAAAAATAGTTTTCGTCAACTTTAACTTTTAATAACTTTTAAACTGAATTAAATATTCCAAATTTCCTTCAATATCAAATTTAGAATTTATCAAGTTATAATCCTACCAATTTGTAATAATGTACCATTAATATTAACCAAACTACACACTAAAAATGTCAAACGCGCAAAAATAAGTTGTGCACTAAGTCAGTTTAGCAGTAATATGGATTAAAACCAATTTCCAACACGTAAAACTAACGAAAATGCGTCTCCTCCACAACGCGACGGTAATATTACAAAAGTTGTAGCCACCGCCACCGCCGCCGACGACGGTCGTAGGCGGCCGTAGTCACAGTTGACAACATATTAGGTCTTACTAGTTGACTTAGTCCGACACCCTCCGAAGTCGTTGGTTCGTGCGGCGTTTCGTGTCCTTAAAGGATTTGCCATGCAGCGTTTTAGTCCTTCGCCGCCTGCTCGCATGCCGTCTATATATATAACGCGCATAAAATCCTCTCGTCCTCCAACCGGCAGGACCTCCCGCAACGCGACGCTATCACAATACATCCAGTTAACGTTAAATACACACCGAACGCATAAAACGAAGCACCGAACGTAAAATATTCTTTATTGCGTTTTTCCTTCCGGGTTTCCCGGCCAAAGTCCGCCCTCCCGACTTTACTACGACTACCGACTCTCTGGTATTCAACTTGTCCGTCTTTAACACTAGCAGTTTTTCTACTTTTCATGCGGATAAGCACATAAATCGCGTTTTTTTCTTCTTCTGCGTCTTTCGACGGCCATTTTTAACAAATTGTTATGACACATCGTATGGAAGGTCATTCGATCAATTTGCCACTCAAATCTTCTTCGGGAAAGTGCGCGAGACTGCTTTTAGGGGCGAAGTTTAAGAGATTTTTATTGAATTTAAAGTTTGCTCTTGTGTCTCCGTCTTTTGCGCTCGAAACGAAACAATATACAGCTTTAGAATGGCGTTTGTGGGTGTATGTGTGTAGATGTGGGTGTGTACGCCGGAGAAAAATGGGGGAAATTTAAAAAAGTTTCCGGCCAAAGTTGAGAGTTATAAAACGAGTCTGCTAGTCGCATAAATTGCTTTGTATTAGCTGCGCGCCGCGCGAAACGCCGCCGCTCGATGGGAATTTGTCGTTTGGACACGTCTCGGTCATTTTCACGATTTTCATGATATTACTCAGCGGGTTCATATCGTAAAAGAGCTTAATGGGTGTAAAAATCACACTAGGACAGGTTTTACATTTTATACTTTCATATAAAATTCATTGAAAAAAGTTGTTTACTTTTTTATTTAAAAATTGTAGAAAATTGTATTAAATGTCGTTGAAAAGAAAATTTATTGTAGAATTGAATTGGAAAATTTTGATAGTGTAGGTGTCATAGCTTTTGTCTGAGAGAAGAAAAGTACGGGAAATAAAGAAGAAAAAACAGAATTTTTTATTTTTAGCTAAAACTAAAAGTTGTTTATCTTTGGTATTAAAAATGGTGGAAAATTAATTCAAATATCATTGAAAAGATAATTTATTGTAGAATAAACATGCAAAATTTTGATATTGTAGGTGTCATAATTTTGGGCTGAGAGAAGAAAAATTAATTATTAAAAATTAAAAAACTGAGAATTTTCGGTTTTTAGCTAAAACTAAAAATTGTGTATCTTTTTTTTATTAAAAATGACTGAAAACCTATTCAAATATCATTGGAAAGATAATTTATTGTAGAATATACCTGCAAAAATCTGAGAGCGTAGGTATCACGGTTTTTGTCAGAGAGCAGAATAAGTAATGGGAAAAAAGATGAAAAACAGAGAATTTCCTGTTTCTAGCTAAAACTAAAAATTGTTTATCTTTTTTATTAAAAATAACTGAAAATATGTTGAGATATTATTGGAAAGATAATTTATTGTAGAATCAACTTGCAAAATTTTAAAACTGTAGCTGTCGTAGTTTTTGTCTAACACAAGAAAAAGTGACAGAAAAAATAAAAAAATTAAAAATTTTACGTTTTCAGCTATAACTCTTTACTAAAATCGTTATAACTTCAAAACTAATGAAGTTTGCAAACCAATTATTGTTTTATCGTATAGATCTCATCAAGGACTATAGAATAACCTACTTAAGAAATACGTAGACATAATAATTTGTCAGTAATTTATCGAAATATATAAAGTTGAAATTAATTGTAATTTTAATGAATCACACAATATAACAAGAATAATAAGCGCGACTAATTAAAATCCGCACTAATTGAATACCTCGGTAACGAATGTGAGTTTAACGTTTCATTCGGCCGGTGTCTGATGTCCATTAAGGCACAAGCGTGCCGTAAGCCCCCGGCGTGGCGCGTCCACTCGAAGCATTAATTAAAGTATGACATTAAGTTCGCATCTCGGCGGTGCTGCTCTCGTTGCATTCGCGCTAGTTTTACTTCTTCCATCTTACGACGCACACATGGCGATCGTACATCGCGCGACCGCGCGGCAATTAAGGCGATTGCGATTAAGTAGTGGCGATTAAAAGT